TTGAATGGTTTGAGGCTTGATGCTGTCAAAGCTAAGTGGATTAGCTTAGACAAACCTTTGTTTTTATCAGCAGATAAGAAGGCCAACAATTCAGTTAAAGGAGAATGGTGACTGCAGTTTAACTGCATTTTGCAGGCAATGAAAATTTTTTGGATGTAACTATGAGTTTGAAAATCAATTGAAAGAAAAATTAAAACACTTCTTCATTTACTTTATTGTTGGTGGAGCAATTATTCCCTATCAGAGCTCAAGAGAAAAAGAAAATCCTCCACAAATGTATGCATTTGAAATTAAACATGAATTTTAAATTAACAAACATCTAGATGCTTAAATAGTACAAAACTGATTAGAAGGTACCATTCTTAGCCTGCATGAGTGAATGCTTGTCAGAAATGACTAGTGTGTTTCTTCTGTAACCTGCATGTTGTTGTTAAGCAGTGAAATGAGAGAGGTGAAATAATACAGATCACCTGTAAATTAGTGTAGACAGGAAATGCTTTCCACATTCGGGGAGTATTTTCAGGATGCAAAAATATTTCTTATTCTGCATCAGGCTGAGACTTTCCACGTGAGGGAGAGGGGGATTGTTAGATTGTGGTGCAGGAGGGATTTGAACTCCAGGCTTCAAGAGGAATAATAGCCAATAATGCAGAAAAGGATCAATTGTGAAACAGTAATATGATAAATATGCTTAATTTTCAGCAATTGCTTATAATCCTATGGCTTTCTATAAATATTAATAGGCAGACTATAAGCTGGCCCCTTACTGTTCTTGAGTCTAATTAATGTGAGCAATATGTTCAGTGTGTTAACCGAAAAGATTTTAAGAACAAGAACTGTTCTATGTAGGAGCTGGGAAGGAGGGCACAGAAGTGGAGGGCCAAGGCTCACTTTAGGTTTTCTTGTGGTTTACAGAATTTAGAGAGGCCGTAGGAATAAGTCAAGCCTCCGTAGATCTTCTCCATGACAGCTGTCTGTCATGAGACTGCATCTTTTGGATTGGATGGTGACAGAAATAAGAGGTTGCTCAAATGCTGGAAGTGGCTCTAGGAACATGACAAAACCAGAAACCAAACAAAACTTCATGGAATATTTCACAGCTTCTTCACTCTTTTAAATGCTCTTTTAGAGGACTATTAGGGCAATCTTATCAAGCAGTGAACTTTCTGCGGAGAGGATATTGCAGACTGCAAACTAACAAGCAAGGCCTGTGTTCTGAAAAAGTAATCTCTTCATTCCCAATAGGAATGAATAGAATTTTTCCCATAAATATGTTTTACAGTTTGTCAGTTGCCTTTTCATGAAAAATAGTAGCATTTTAAACATCTTATTTCCTGTAGTAATAATTGAAAATAAGTATATAGTTGTTATTCCAACAGACATTGTATGATTCAATGAAAGTCGTAGTTACTTTTTTTCACTGTTGTTTCTGCCTTTAAAATAACAGTCCAGGACATAATTATGAAATCAGTATTCATAGAAAAATAAAGTAGTTGGAATGCAGTGGCAGTGTTTCACACACATCTTGTTTTGAAAGCTGTTTCCCTTGATACATCAATTAATCTGTCAGCATAGTTTGAGAGTACTTGGAGCAGTCGTAGTCAAGTGTATGCCGGTCCTGGGAGTCGCTTTCTTCTGCTGAGGAAGATACAACTTTGTAAACCTGTCAGCTCATTATTACTGTCTTCGGGTGCAGGAAACCCATGGCTTGGCATCTGCAGCTGCATGTTTTATTGTTTGGTTGTACCTCGCACCAGGGTTCCCTGGTTCTTGGCTGTCAGTTTGATTAAAGTAGATAAGACAGGGAATGATAAATCTCATATCAATCATAGCTTACAGACTGAAAGTGAGGGGAAAACTGTGAACTGTTCTGAGATGTTCAGAAGGCATATGCCAAACTGATTTAGCAGTAGCATGCATGGATATGAGCACAAACACGTTTTCACTTTGTTCCTTTTTGCTTCAAAATACGTTGTGTAAGCTATTATAGGATAGTGAAGAGTCTTTGAACTTAAAAGACTTTTTAGGGGAGGAAAATGTGTTTATAAGGAGGACTGAACTAAAACTTGCCCTCGGATCTCTTGATATCATTATTTTGAATTAATATCTTGGAATATAATGTCTGAGTCCAGAGGAGAGGGGTGGCACATGGATGAAGTGACACACAGCTGATATCAATGCTCATTGGCTAAAGATGGGCCCTTGTTAGCTCTACTTTTGTATGTGCTTTATTATACTTCCTTCCATTGGACTTGAAATATCACTTACATGTGCTATTTTACATTCTTACCTGAGCAGTTTAAGAATTTAGAACAGAAGCAATTTTAAAAGTCTCCTGAAGTCAAAAGGAGTTGCCTCCTGAACATCTGAAGGCACTTCTCTTCAGAAAATGTTGTTTTCAGGTCAGATGTCCTCTTCTGCTCCTCCGTCATTTTCACTTCAGAGGCATCTGAAATCAGTCTTTTCAGTTCATTGCTGGAAACATTCAGTATTCCCTTCATTATTTCTAATAAATGTTATGATGAACATTTTTTAAGCGACGTGTGACAGAGGTTTAGGATGAAGAACAGTTATTGCATATTTAACTCTTATGTCATATCATAATAGTTTTTACATTCCACATGCAGTAGTAGAAGAACATGCAGTCCTGCAAGTCATTGTTTATATATACAACTTTATGCAGTTAAGCAGTCAGGATCACCAAAGTGGGTCTACAGCATTAATCAAAATGCCTGGCTTACATCTAGGTAATCAGCTCTTAATAAGGGTGGCTCTTTATAGAGTGGTTCTCTTTGGAATTAGTGTGCATTCTGCTTAGAGCAAATGGCTCTCTCTGTAAAGAAATCTGTATCAGAAATTAACATGTGGAAAGTAGCTTCAAGCATTTCTATTTCCTTAGGGATCTAAGGAAATAGAGTCTCTCTCTAAGGAGAGACTAGATCTTGGTCTATCTGCTTTTCTTTTTTTTATATTCATTTAAATGAAAAGAAAATAAGTATTTATTGCATGTCTTCACAAGTTTTCATGTATTTTCAGTATATAAAGAATAATGCAGCCTATGCTCCATAGGGCCCCATGCCTTATAGGGAACGTGTGTAATGTTACAGATGCCAGTTAGCTCAGAAAAGGAGATGAACCCTGCGAGGAGAAACTACTTTAATGGGTGGGATGAATAATGAGTGTTACAGCTAGATGTCTCAGAACTGCTTCCAGGTCAGGGGGCTCCATCATTAAGCACCAGGTAGGTAAGGAAGAGTTTTCACCATTTAATAGATACAATCTAAAAGATGAGACAGAGCAGATAAAAGAAATGAGTAGGGAAAAGAAAAAGTAATCAAACTAGCTGCATATCTTAACATAAATAAGATAGATTCATAGTTCTTCACACACCATCACCTATGAGTAAAACAGCACTGCTTGTTCAGTTTAGGTAACTAGTTGACATCTCTTCAGACATTAAACTGAACTTCACGGGACATCTTTCTCTGAAATACGTCCCTTAGCTTACATTTTCAAGCTTTTCTCTGTTCCCAGTATACAAGTTGCTGACTTTCAAATGTAAAAAGTAATGACTGGGGAGTTTTTTTGCATTAGCTTTCCTTTCCTTATAAATAGGAACACATGAGAGTGACAGATATTTCAGTGCTGAGCCATGTATTGTGACAATATGAAATAACAGTTTTTGAAGTGATTGCATCCAAGAAATTCTTCTAGAGATACATAATACTCTCCTAATAAGAGAAAAATTTGAATGATGTTCAGTGTTTTATAAGCATACCATTTTTAATATATAAAAGCTAGTTTTCATTTGAGTGGAGATTTATATCCTTATTTAAGGTATTTAATGTTAATTAGCCACAAGACTTCAAAAAAAGTTGGAACTAGACTTGCTTTGGAAATTCTTTGTCCATATTAAAACATACTAAGGAGAGAAATGATTTGTGAATTTTGTTCAAAATATCTAATTTCTTCGGACCCAATACTTCAAATAGTGTCACTTGAATCAACAGGATGCTTTTTCCTGTTACGAAAGGAATATCCTGTGAGTCACTTTCTTTTTAAACTTATTTCATACTTTTCTTCCTCATTTCTTACCTCAGAGAAGGAAGGAGTTCTTTGGCTGCTCTTGCAATTCAGCTTTCCTCTATAAACTGTCTTTTCTCGATGGCAATGTGTGTTAAGAGTAGTTAGGTTTTGGCAAGTATCAGATAGCTGTATTTTTGATAAACTCTAATGCAAAGCTATAAAAACATTCCTAGGGCATTAACCTTCTTTTATCCTGGTTGCAAGTCTTGCCTGTGAGGTCCATAGAATTGCATGAATTTTCTACATTTAGTACTTTGTGTATTTTCTGTGGTGCTCTCTTGCAACTTTGGTGTATTGGAGTGGCCTGTCAATCTCCCCTTGGGAGATCTAGAGAAGATTTATGTGTGGACAGTTCTTATTCATGTCAGCTGAGGGGCGTGGGGGACACACACCCAATTCTTTCTAGTTCTGATTCAAGTCAAGCAATGCTAATTCAAAGTTCAGAATGAATTTTCCATATAGTTAGTTTTATGAGGGAGTAGCATGGCAATAATTATTGTTGTTCTTGCATTAACATGTACATTCAGTACACAAGAATTATTATGTGGTTATGTGCATAGAAATAACCTAATGTTACAGAGATCATGCTTTTTTGGTTCTGTTTTGTGCAAGATTGCAAATGGTAATGTTAATTAAAATGCATCAACGTCAAATTTTATTCCTGTTAAATTTTATGGAATTAATTTCCTCAGATTTATAAATTAGATCTGTGGAAGTATAATTTCCAGACTCTTTGCTCTTTCAAAAATGTCATAAGCCTTGCAGAAAGGTTCTAAGCTTCATTAAAACCATTGGAACTAAGCAATAAATAACATTAAGTATATCTGAAAGATGAAGCCTTGTAACTTTTTTATAAAGAAAATAACATAACGCCTGAATGAAATGCTGTGCTGAGTCATGATTGTTGATTTCAGTGGGACAATCTGCATGCTTCAACTTGCTGCACCAAGGTCTAAAAACCAGGAGGTGAATGAACATTTGAAGCTTGAAGACCTTAATCTAACAGGCAAACATTTCTCAGGTAAGAGAAATACATGTGAAATACATTTTTTCTCTTAAAGCTCACTACTTTAGTTGCTTTTGACCACTCATAAATTATTTCAGAAATAAATTTTCGTATTTATTTATGGCCTGAATAAGCCTTGTAAAAAAAAAAAAAAAAAAAAAAAAAAAAAAAACAAAAAAAAACAAAAAAAAAAAACAGCCATTAGTTTTAGATTTCAGGCTCTGAGGTTCAAGAGAATTCTTGGCCTGGGAAGCTTGTCTATCCTGTATCATTTCTTGCTGCAGCAGTATTGAGACTTAGGCTCTGCTCTGTATGTATCTGGCTTTGCTGGAGGTTCTCTCTATTATTCCAGACACAATTTTCTCAGACTTTATCCTTTTATTGTTATAACTTTGCTGCAATTTATTTTCTATTGCAGTTACGCAGATGTATTCTATATGAATTTCTTCAGCAGGACAGCCAGTTTGAGCCAAAGTATACTTAGGCAGACAGTTGGCTTCGGTTTTCTTGGAAGAGTTCAAAGAAGATTATGCTAAGCAATAAAAGCTTTAGGCTGTGAATAATTTGAATTTTCTACATTGGTTAGAGAAAGTGATTATATTAACCAGTGAATTGTAGGAAGAATTTCACTGAATTAATTTAAAAATACAGTACAATATTAATATAAAAATACGATATTGTGTGTGTAGCTATGGAAAAAAGTTAACTCAAAAATTAGTTTAGGCTAAACATTTTCCAAAAGAAGGAATATCATCTATGTTATGTTACCATGCTGCACAAATTGGACAGCAGAATAAAAGTGCCAAAATAGGCCAAAAATAAATACCATTCTTGAAACATTCAATCACTAGCTTTTGGGCTTCACCTTCTAGTTTGGGGGAGAGAAAGGTGCTGATTAAAGCACTACCTTATTACTGAAGATGTTTGAAATTTAAATTCCCAATTATTCCAGTGATTTTGGATGCATCTCTTATTCTCTGTGTGCCCCAAACCCCCCCCCCCCCCCCAAAAAAAAAGGCAGTTATTTTCATACCATTGGACCATTTTCCACATAACCGCTAGAAGTTTTTCAGTGCAGCATTTTTACTGGGCCATCTTCATGTAATTCCTCCCATGACAATAGTAAGAATAAAAGTTACTGACAGATTTTATATTGATTGAATAAAGCAGTGTTAATTAGTAGGCTCGTCTGAAAGTTACTTCTTCTGTGCTACAGCTATCATATAACGCTTTCAAATTGTCAGTCAAAAATGCAGTTATTTTGCTGTGTCCTGAGACTAGACCTCAGCTGTAGTCAGAAAACTAGAGCAGTCAACCAGTGTTTTCAGACACATGTTTTCAGAAGCTTAATGCTTTTTTCCCCATTCAGTTTTGTGAGGCAAAAGGCCCCTGGATGAACTCGGAACTGAACGATATTTTACATGAGAAAGCTTCACTGAAGTTAGCAACAAGACTTTAAACATTTTAATTTTAATTAAGTATTGGCTTTTTCTGCAGTTTTCCAACATAACCTTTTGTATGGAGTGGTCAGCACATCTATAGAGTTTTCAGTCTCTACTCTCAGTCCATTTTGGTCAATGGACTCTGGGCAAATGTGACACTGTGTGACACTATTTATCAAGCTTGTGATGTGCTCGAGTGGTGACTGGTTTCTGAGAATAGTCAGGAGTCAAAAGTGCTTTATTAACTGGTGTGACAAAATGATAGATACTGTGGAAGCCAATTTAAGAAAGGGAGAGTATAGCTGAAAGTCTGACTGCTTTTTGTTTTTTCCAGCAATATCAACCAATGAGAGACTGCTGTCTCTTATAATAAACCTTGCTTAGCTTTGTATAGGTTTTCTTTGATTGTTCTCCTGTATCAACAAAAGAACAAGCAGCCTTTTTGGCCAGGCTGTCACTGAAGCAAAAGTGTTGCTTATCTGAAAATAAAGCTTGCAATACCAGTAAGATGAATCATCCTAAGAAAAGAAGGATAGATCAGCCTAGTCTCTCTTTCCATAGAGATGACTTCATGCTCACTCATTGACTGCGTTGTTGCTATAGACTAGCCCATTATTGGAGGACATTACTGGTAAAAAGAGAGCTTAGTAGTCACAGCCACCCGTGACTTTGTTTCTTTGCTGTGATGGGAAAGAAAGTTGTCTTTGATTGTGTTGTTCCATTGTTGATCAGAGCTTGAGTAGATCCTGAGAGTAGATCCTTAGTGACCTGTAAAATGATAGTCACTTTATCAATGTGTTTTAGGTCATCTTTTTGTGACATAGGTCACAATTTAGGTGATAGTATTTTACAACGTCACAATCCTGAAACCATATTTTGCCTTTGTATTTATTGGCTTATCCAAGGTATTTCATCTAAGGTAAGACTGACTTTTAAAAGCACCAGTTGCTCATCAGCGGTTAAATATGTCCAGAGGTTTGAAATTTTCATAGTGATGGAACAAAAATATGACATATGTTTTGAAATGCAGCTGGCTACATTGGCACTACTAGTTCATGCATATTTGCATATTTATCAGTTCTGAGGTGATGGATACCTTGAATCACTTATGAATAATCATTGCAGGGGAGAGGGGGTATTCTGAAAGGAAAACTTGCAGTTCCCATTATACTTCTAGCAAGAATTTTATCTAAGTTCTGCTAAGTAATTTTCATTTCTTACTTTTGCTTATGTGATAGTTATTTCACTCTCTGAAGATGCAGCCTGCTTCTCTACATACCCCCCCTTATCACAACATGGGGATTTCTTCTGGGGAAAAAAAAAAAAGATTGGAAAATGTAAAAACATTCATTTTTACAGTAAAGTTGCTCCTGTCCAGGAAGGGAACAAGCTACCACTGACGTAGCTGCTTTAATTGATGAAGCTAGGCACACATTAGGGAGTCTGCAGTTGCAAACCTGTAGATAATGACTGTCCAAGGAACCAGGTAACAGTTGACTTTTGTCATACTCCATCTGCAGAGCAGCCCATAAACCTCTGTCTGCCTATTTATCCAGTTTGCTCTCATAAGCCCCCTCTTGATCTTGTCTGCATCTTTTTATTTTCCTCATTGTTTCAAGATTTGTTCTAGTTGCCATTTTCTCTACAGTCTTCTTGCACATGTCCCTTTTATCTTACTCTCTCCCATCCTCTGTATTTCTTTTTCCTCTAAAGATCAGCTTATAGAGATTCCTCGCTACCTTTATCACTATGGAAAAAAAAAAAAAAAAAAAAACTGTGATTGCGGTTGCACACAGGAGTATTTTTCTCCACATGTTACCTTAGGTATTGCTGTGTGATAATCCTGGGTAGATGCAGAGACTTCAAAGGTGATTGCTGTTCCTCCTGGTGGCAACTGTAGTTAAATGATGTCTCAGAAAGGACTGACAGATGTCTCTGTTTCTGTATATGACTATCAAAGCTGCAGGACGTTGGCAGATAATCAAATGAGAGTAACTGGAGATAGAGATCCCTTTCTGTTAAGTATAGTGGGTTCATTTTAGAGGTATTCTCCCTGTTTGCCTCCCTGGAAAAATAAACCCTAGAGGGAAAACAAACCCTAAAGTTTTTCTCCTGATTTCAAAGATTTTTGTCTTTATTCCCTAGAAATTGCCAAGGTGTATCCAGACAAGCTCTTAGAGAGCTGGGAGATATTCTAATGGTCCCAGTATCTTTCAGAGTAAGTCAGTGCTAAAGATTTTGGCATCTCTACTTTGTGGTGTCCTGGTGTCCACAATATTCTCTTTTGTACTGCTCAGTTAATAACATTGTGATCTATCACTGTGATCCAAAGAAATAGGATGAGGACAAAACTGTTAAGCAAACAAAAGCACAGCATCAAGAAAAACAGTTCCATGAAAAGAAATATATTTGGCAATCTGGAGGATAGAATGGCACTCATAGTAAACAGAGCATGCATTGCTTAGCAGTAAATTAGTCTAAATGTACACTGGCAATTCACATTTCACTTTGAGTGTTATAGTTACTCTGCAAAGTATTATGCCAAAAAAAGAACAAAATCTTCCTGCAGATTGAACTAAATAATTTACTTTGGCTGCTTGTAAATAAATGTTGCTAGCTTGACATGGTGTATTTTCAGTGTTTATTTCTAGAAGATTTATACTTGGTTGTTGTTGTTTTTAACTGATTACTGTTAGTACTGGGATAGGATATGGTATTTTATTGTCACAGAGAAATACCTTTTAGTCCGGAGGGTAAACTGTTGTATTTAGGACTTAGGAGTCTTGGGCTCTCTTGTTTATTCATGTATTCCGTGGCTTCGGTAAGACACTTCTGTTTCCTACGCTGTGCCTGTTTTCACTAATTACAGAGAATGAGAACTGAATTCTCTTATATTTTGATCCTCTACACATCATCTATAGGGGAATGCTCATCTTGGTTGTGACTGTAGTGTATCAAAATAATTAATCAGTTCATTTACCATTTATGTAAAACAGAAGATAGCTAACTAATCCTGTTTCTAGTCATTATCATGCTGCAAAACTTGGGAGACTGTCCCTGTTCTGACTGGTTAGATGCTGCAGGGTGCAGTAAGGAAGATTAGCACTGAAGTTTGAGTTAAAACTCTGATTTTCAGATTGTTGGACCATCCTGACTTCCACTGCTTAAAACTTTATCATTCTGATTGCCTATGACAGAAGTGTTTGCACATGTCTTTATCTTAAAAGAAATATACAGGGCAGGAAACTGGGGAGACTAGACAGGAGAATGCTAGTTTATTGTGATGTGAGCTAAAAAGACCACGAACCTTAGCCAATATAGTAATTGAGTACAAATGTTGAACACTAGCCTAATGTTTTGTCAGTTCATGCTGCATCTCTGTAAAAATATTGTTATTGTAATAATCATAAAAATAAATGCAGTTGCTGCTGTGTAGCAGACTGTGCTGTGCGCAAGAACTAGACAATACCACAGATTTGATATAAGTTAAAATTCTTTGCAGAGTGAATACAAACATTTCCATTAAGGCTGGAGATGAGCTCCTGTGAACTCCATTTTAAAATATAGATTACAATTTAGGCTATTTTTTCCTGTGTTTATTCTTCATTGTTTTCCATTTCTCAGAATCTGACTGTGTACAGAACAGATTGCCCTATGAAACTAACTGCCTTAAGAAGTCTTGATGAAATTGTTCTAGTTCTGCCTGTGCAGTTACAGACTAAGATTTATTTTCTGACGGTTCTTAAGACCTGGCCACCAAGAGCTAAGTCAAATGTAGCAATAAACCAACTTAGAAATGTCCTAGCAGGTGAATGACTGAGTATCTAGCTGCAAAAGAGAAAGTGAGAAATAGTTGCCGAAAGCCTTAAGATGCTGTTATAGTATGCTTGACAATATGCATGGTTTCTGTGTTTGGTAGGCCGTTCAAGAATATGGTAGCCTTAAGTCATTCCGAGTTCATGAGTAAATGTAAGGATATTCTTGGAACACGCACAGCAGTTGGCCAGGAGGCAAGACATGTATGTCCTCAGTTTGAATCCACTGAGGACGAGCTCTGTGAAGAGAGCTGAATGATAGAGCAAACCAGCTGTAGGAATGGTTGGCTGCTGGGACATGCTGCTGAAAATTATGATGAAATAACGAGCAAGAAAAACTTAAGCCTAAGGAGTTTGACTCATGAATGCTGGGAAGCAGTGTGTTGTGGGCTTCTTTGCTAGCACAGTTTTCAGAGACGAACATGCCCGTTTGTTCTTGAGCTCAAGTGACTCACTATCTTCCTAGAGAAGTCACAGCTGAGTTTCTCTTTCAGGTTTGGCCAGACAATCTCTATCCTTGAGTTGTAAGAGACAGAAAGAACAGAGTGAATGCTCCATATGCTGTTCGGAGCCCTATTCATTACCACCATCTGTACTGGGAAGAGAGGAAAAATGGGAGTCTCATCTTACACCAGATATATTGGCTTTTAGCCATGCGAAGCAAAGGAAAAGTAGAACTCTCTAGCTCGATTCTCTAGCTCAAGAAAGCCTGGACAGGCTTGTTCATATCTGAACTGTCTCTACACCTCCATTTCTACAATAGTTTTAAATAGCAGTTACTAATACTTTCCCCACCCTTGGGAAGAATATGAAGATTATTCAGTGTTTCTAAAAGAACTGAGGATGAAGTTGCCCCTAAAGAGCTGTCTGTGATTTTGCTAGGTAAGTGCAGAGGGTTGAAAAACTTTCTGATTTATTTTTCTGGCAGTTCAACTAGTGCTTGTATCTCACAAGTGAAAACATTGTTTTTCCTCACAATTTTCTAGACTGGATTGTCTGGTGAGACTTGAACCTAAGCAGGAGGTGAGTGTGATGCATGACCTGTGCTATGTAGCAGTTCTGCCAGGCACTGTCTGCCTGTTCTCTGAAGAACCATTCCTTCCTGGCTTCCTACATGACCTCTTCATTCCCGGCCTGTAACATCAGCAAATTAGCCAGTGCAACGGGAGGGTGAAATTAAGGATCAAATCTTTTTTCTTTGCAGACCACTGATCTGTTTTTCTGGGGAGAGAGTTAAGCAGTCTTAATAAGTTAATACATACCTATCCTTGCATGCAAAGTTGTACTCAGAATCCTTGTAACAGATGGATTTGTTTTTGTTTTTGTATTGAGAGACAGTCGAGGTTATAATCGAAGTCAAAGAATCTGCAAGTATCTATCACTTTGTAGTAATGGAAAAAATTATCACTCAAATGAAACACATTCCCAGAATTCCTGCTGTAGGCTGTGCTAGGCAAGCCTGTACTTCTCAATTCTTTGTATTTAACTTTTGCAAGATTTCTGTGAGCTATTTCACACCATCACTAGAGTAAGACTCAGATCCTCTATTACACGAGACATACCAGCTATGGTGGTTTGCTATATCATGCTGTATGCCAGTGGAAATTCATGGAAACTTTTGGAAATAAACTAAGAAAATTCTTCTTGGAAATGTTTATCATAATTGCTCTGGGAGAGCAATGAATGTTGCTACATTCTTCCTTTGTATTTTGGGTAGCTGAAAGTTTATTCCTTGGGTTGACGGAAGTGAAGGGTTTAATGCAGTACAAAAAAACAGGGTAGCTCATAGGTGTGCAAGTAGCTGCAGTTCTGATCTAGGGCCAGCTTTTTGGCTTACATTTGGTGCTCATAGCTACCAACAGGCAGTAATGAAATGCCAATGTTACGGGGAGCATGAACTTATTTGAATGGTAAGGGTGCAGGGGAAGGCGGGGGGGGGGCAGGGGGGAGGGAAGAAGCTTGAGTGAAGAATGAAGCTGGATCTGCTCAAAAGATGAATATCCCTGTGCGTCCTGCAAAATCATGCATATGTGTGTATCATGCATATGCCTATATAGACATTTTTGTATTCCTGGTAGGCACATCTACAACCACTAGAAACTTGATGCTAAATGACATGAGTTACTTGATTTACTGGACACTGAAAGACTTGATGACAACAGTGATTAGTTCATATATTTTGAACTTTTTTTTGCATGGAAAAATCAATTAATTACCTTCTTGCATGCTTTTTTCATGCCCCTGTATTGAGTTACAGTAAACATATTAATTTAGTCAAGTCAGCCTTTTAGAGATACCTTCTTCAAGTACAGCTATTTGCAGAAGTACAAGATGGCAATAAAACAATGCCTAGCAAAGTACCAGAGCCTCCTCACTACAATGCAGATGTCACATTTTAGAGTTTGAGTGATATTACCAGATAAAAACATGCATTTGCAATCAGTGTGGTAATAAAGCAGACCACCATTAGTATATTAACTTATTGGCAATAATAGCAAATAATTATTCATTACTGTAATTTCTTTTGACATTTCTGCTGCTGAATTTTGTAGAGGAAGTACAAAATGTTCTCAGATGTATTAGAAATCTATTGATAGATGTTCAGTTGGTATTAAGCTCCTACAGCAACCTGTTATTCTGGATTGCTGCCTACTTAATCAGTGATTAATGAAAGCTTCCATTTTGTATGTGAAATTGGAAGCCTGTATTCTTGGCATTGTTGAGGTATGTAAATGTCTTCCTCAGATAAAACATGACAGACAACACCTGAAGTACAAGTGCTTTGTTCTGCTGCCTGTCATATCAAGAAAATTTCTGGGTTCCTAAAGCTACGAATTTAATTGGGACAGGAGATGAACTGGCAAATATTCTTTACTCAGCTCTTTTTCTGACATCTATTCTGGTTGTTCTGCATAATGAGGGGCAAAACCAGCAGATGATATACATTGATGCCATTATCAAAAATACTGTGTATTTAGAAATAAGGAACTGCAGACTGCGTAAACATTTTATAAAGCAAAATACCTGAAATTAACACATGACTTCATCAATTGTCCTACAAAAGGTAGGGCTGGATATTTGAAACTTGAGAATATTTGTTTTTTTAAAAAAAAATTTTTTTTTTTACTCAGTGAGATCCTATGAGGTGATAAATGTTTGCAAAGCATTTAGTGTGAGTTATGGATGAATGGCAATGAAATGGTTATTTCTGCAGTGGAACTGTGAGCTGCCCCAAGCACAGAGCTGCTAACATTACCTTGCAATTCATCCTTTCTTAGAGCTTTCAAAAGTAGCTCTTGAAGCTGGCAGCTGCAGCCTGCATTGGATCAAGTGCTTTATATAGTAACTTTAATGAAAACTCAGATGAGTGTAAGGTCAGTCACTCTACGGTATGTTCTGATTAGATTTCCACTTTCCTTTGCGAAAACAGATTGCATCTGACCCAAACACAGAAGCCCATTGTGCCAGAGGTGTAAAGGAGTAGGTGTTATTTTGCACTTCTCATCTTCGAAAGATAATGACATGGAAAATTCATTCTCTTCTGCTCTTTAGTAATTTTCCATCTGTTATTGTAGTTGTTTGTGCAACTGGAAACAAAAGCTAATCACAAATGTCTGCCTTAAAACAGTTTCTTTGTTAACTCTTATGTCAACATTACCTTATGGAGGCAAGGCTGTTAAAGCAGAGGTGTTGCAGAGCAGTGTGGAACATGGCTCAGCTGTATGTAGAAGACTGAAAGATTAAATTGCAGCATCCATGCAAAATAGTTGCTTAGAATTTCCAGGACATTTCCTAGATTATTGTCCACTTTGTTATGTTCTAGCCGAGTTCCCTAGTTCCTTGGAAATTATATCCATACTTGAAGCACAGCATCAATACTTATGGCATGGAATTTCATTTGAACTCAGGGAAGAATCTGGCCCATTGGATTCTCATATTCCATTCATGGTGAAAGCAACCACTTAATGCTAAATGAAGCAGCAGTGTTCTCACTGCATTAGCTCAGGATTAAGCTAGCAATGATCCACTGAAATTTTTGTGAGTAGGAAAATCCCAGTTTACTGATTCCTAATGAATCTGCCCTGGAGCTCAGGAATATGTAAGCCTCAGCATCATCCGCCTTGGGCAGGGAAATCTTAGGTTACATGTACACCAGACAAATTACATTGCAATTTGCACTGCTGCCCCTAATGTAAAACACTTTTTTTTCAGTGCTTAATTGCGTATCTCTATGTATTATTGTTAAATAATGGCTATCTCTGCCTGTTCTATACCTATCCCAAAACACACTTTCTTGCTACACTGTAAGTAAATTTAATTGTGCCTTCTCCTGAATCCTGCACAGGGATGTATTTTTTTTTTTTTCCTTCTTTAAAGGTGATCAGTAATGTACAAGGATCTATATGTACTTTTGAAGGAATTTCTATATATGTGTTTGGCATTTCTGAAAGCAGCAGTATAAGATTCCAGATGGCTTGAAGATGAACAGAAATCAAATACATACATAAGGAAGAAGCAGAATTATCTCAAACCACATAAATATCAAACTGCAACTCCGAATGTATGATAGTCACATTTTTGAGATGAGCAATTTGGAGCCGCTGTTTCTGGCACTTTTGGAGTAACATGTGCTCTAACCCACACAAGCACAAAAACTGCTTTTCTAATTTGGGAGGAGAGGGTGGAAGCATGGAGGTGATACCATGCTTCTGCTGATGGATCCTGGTGTCCCAGAGCCCAGAAGAGATGTGTACCAGGCTTTTCACTCAGCAACAGATGCACCACCAGAAATGCTCTGGGGATGGAAGGAGAGACTCTGTAAAATCTTGGCTCCTTTAAAGTGTCATTAATTTTAGAAGAGTAGATTTTTACCCTAAAACTGTTAAAGAAATAGAAATTACCTGAAGACTGAATGACAGCTATAGAGGAAACAGACAATCCATTACTTTCAGTGTAAAATGTACCTGATTCTGTTCCTTATTTGCTTTTGTATTGGGTGTAAACAGAACCATAGGTATTAATTTCTCTGAGGTGCTGGTCAGAAAGGCAAATAAAAATGAGCTGTCAAGAAGTATCTCAAAGTGAGCAGTGTTACCATGGAGATAAAGCAAAGACACCATGACTGGACATTTGCTCTTAAGGGAAGCAGAACAGGGGAAAGCTGCAGCAGCAGCTGAAATGGAGAGCTGAGCGGGCCGTCAGCCAGCAGCTCCCAAACAAATTGAGAGAAGAAATCACAAATTGTTCTTAAGCAAACAAATAATGCTTCCAGATACGGGCATGGGCAGTGTGGGTGCACCCTTTGCTTTTGCTTCCTCGTGGAGTAGCCTTTAAGCTATTGTGTTCTCAGCAGTTACTAAGTGCTGCCCATTTCTGGCAAGGATGTCCTCTGCAGAATGTTTCCAAAGCATCTGAATCCCAAAAGGGCTGATCCTCCATGGAACTGCATGCTCTAAATGAAAGAAGCCGGAGGGAGAAAGGAGGTATATGTCAGGAACACAGTCACAGTGTAACAGAGCAAAACTAGGTCTCTTTATTATTATTATTATTATTTTTATTTTTATACAATAATAGGAGCAATGATAACAGCTTTA